CTCCCCACAAGAAACGTAATATGCGCCGAGAGGCCTCAAATGAGTCTGCATGTAACTTTTTTATTATTGGGAAAATTATCTTGTTCTGTTCAGACAGACCAAGCATTGTAGTATAGGCTCCGTAATCGATTGAATAATAATTTCTGTTGTCTCGGAAGGGGAATTTTAAAAGAATTAACAACTTCTGTCAAAATCGTATTTGTAGCCGAAAAGTTGGTCCTTGTAGGTGCAGCTTTAATGATTAAAAATTATCAATTCATTTTAATTATTGCGAAAATCTGATGAATTATAAATTATATTATTTATTATTACACAATTGTGGTGTGATTCTTGTTAAAAATCATAAAATATGAAAAAATATTTTTTTTTGCGATTTATAATGACTATCGTGACCTATCATATGTGGCTGTGTTATATATGTATATGTAACATGATCGTTTCATTTTTGGTTGTTGTGACTCTTTTATGCAGAGATCGAAACCCAAAAAGGAAATATTTACTCCTGCCATTTTTTAGTATACCTGATTATGATCAAGAAGATATGACGAAAAAAAAAAGCAACCCATTTAAGATAACTTATGAATTGTAGTAAAAAAGTATCTTTTAGATGTTTATATAGCTAACCCGAATATGTTCAGACTTCTGTTTTTTGACTTTATTAGTCTTGTTCTTTTTTTTTTTTTAACGGTATGATGAATTGATAATCACTGATCGCCAAAGACGTTAGCGAAAGATCATAAAGAAAGTCTGTGTCAATAGATTTATCGTTATCATGATCGTGAAAAAAAAGAAATAATTATCACGAGATTTTGTAACATGATATGATTCGAACATGTAAACTAGATCAGCAGTGGCTTTGCTGTGCTGCTCGGTTCTTTCTAAAAAATAATGTTACACGTAGTTTGGGAGTACAGTAGGTGAAAATAAATGTTTATAAACTAAGATATTTAAAGTATATTATTCAAGTTCGTAAATATTTACTACGTAATGCTTCTCAATTAATTTAGAAATATAAAACCATTAATTTATCAACACTACCTACATACATGATTATTAAAACAGGCGGCAAAGCCGCCCGCATTCGCAATCTCTAGTTTAAAAAACAAAAGAAAAGTAATTTAAGAATTTACGAAAATAAAATTTTTTGAAAAACTTTCTTAAAAAATTAATAAATTAGACTTATCAACTTTGCATAAATACCGTACAAAAAATTTGTTAAATTATTTGAAAAAATCAATAAATCAATGTTTTATAGACTAATTTTATTCTAAAGAAATTAATAATAAATGCTATTTTATTTAAAGTAAATCCTCATTTATAATGAAATTTCTTTTTAGTTAAATTGCAAATACAGAAGATTTCATAATTAATTTTTAATAAACAAGGTACATTTCACAAAAAAATAATAGACTAGTATGATTTTCTTTAAATATAAATTCGAAATTTTTTACTAAAAGTAACTTAAAAGAACATAATCAATATATATTTTTTAAAAAAATTCTTTACAGAACATGACTTTACTGACCCACAACTCTATAAAATAAAAACGTTTACAATTTCTAAACAGAGTTTTGAACCGGGTTTAATCGGATTTTAACATATGAAAATCATCAATTAATGAAAAAAAAGAAGAAAAAAAATTCAAGGAATTTTTAAAACTATCTAATGGTTGGCTACCAACAACTATTTTTGAAAGTTTTTCGGTAATTTCGTGCGTGTTGATGAGCTTTGAAGTGTACATGTGGTCCGAATATTTTTGTCTGACGTTCGGTAAGTTCTTGATCATCTCATAGGCATCTATAAATTGATTCTTAATTGTTCTAATTTCAATATCTTGTATAATAGAAGGAGCACAGATGGTGTCAAACCACTTATTAAGTTTATCAGTAATAGCCGAAGCGGTAGGTCATTTCAATGGATCGGAATCCATGCATTGCATTGCTAATTCGACATAGCAATTAGGAGTTCCAGGTGCGAATTCCTGTCTCAATTCCTAGTAGCAAGTACTTCATCAAATAGAACACCATCGAAAGGCCTTTGTCCAATAGATATCTCCGTCATGACTATTCCAAACGAATAAATATCAGATGCTTGTGTAAACGGTGATTGGCGAGATAATACTTCTGGCGCGACATAAGGTAAAACACCATAAATCCCTTCAATCTCACTTTTAATAGATTATGAAAATCCTAAATCTGCAACATACGCGTTATCTATATCTTGTTGCAAAATATTACCACTATGTAAATCTCTATGAACGTATCCTTGAAAGTGAATCATATTAATATCCGAAATTATACACTGTAGCAATTTCACTTTATTTTTCCAAGTCATTCGTGCAATATCATAAAGATTTTTACTTAAAGATTGTTTGTCTGCATATTCTAACACAAAAGTATATTTTCCGTTAACATCTTTCGTTATTCCATAACATTTTAAAAATGAAGGATACACATCTCTAAATTCACAAAAAAGTTTTAGTTCTTTTATGAATTCTAAATGATCATTTAATTTAAGCATCTTAAGGGCAACGATTTCACTTATATATCTACTTTTATCATCCCAAGACGCACGATATACAGTTGCAAATCCACCTTTACCTATTTTTATAATATTTTTAAATTCATCATAAGGAATCCATGGCAATTGATAATTATTTTCAATAAACATCTTTCTTAAATTGTAATCAAAATCAATTTTTTTAGATGCACATTCATATGTAACTATGTTAAAAAAATTCAATTAATTATCGATTTATATGATTAAATTAACAATATAAAAATTACCTGTTATTAATTTGTTCGCTCTAATAATTTAAATTAGTTAATTATAAATAAATAACATAAATCAAAAATAGAATTTTATACCTTCGACACCAGTAGTTAGCATTTTGTATATCTCTTTCAACACCGACACCGTTTCGGTAGTATCGAGCAACAGCTATCATTCCGTTAACATCTCCCATCTCTGCCGATTTTTGAGAATAGATGAATGCCTTATGTTCATCCTTTTCAACCCCAATTCCATTTTCCAACACCATATGCTCCATAAGCGTTACCCGTATCAGCAGATTTTTGATAATAAAAGAATGCCTTATGTTCATTCTTTTAAACTCCAATTCCATAAAGATAACAATAACCAACATTATATGTTCCAAGAGCATCACCCATATCAGCAGATTTTTGATAATAAATGAATGCCTTATGTTCATCCTTTTCAACTCCAATTCCATCGTGATAACAATAACCAACATTGCTTATTCCAAGTGTATCACCCATATCAGCAGATTTTTGATAATAAAAGAATGTCTTATGTTCATCCTTTTTAATTCCAACTCCATTATCATAACAGTAAAGCTTTACCTATATCGGCAGATTTTTGATAATAATTGTATGCCTTTTGTTCATCCTTTTCAACTCCAATTCCATTTCGATAACAATAATATTTTCCATCAGCATCACACATATCAGCAGATTTTTGATAATAAATGAATGCATTATATTCATCCTTTTCAACTCCAATTCCATTTTGATAACAATAACCAACATCGTTCATTGCTATTGAATAACCCATGTTCGCAGCTTTCAAATATAATTCGAACGCCTTTTTCTCATCCTTATTCACAAAAGGGTTTGTCTGGCTCATGTTATTGTTCATTTAAAAATGCTAGACAGAATTCAAATTTAAACGTATTTTTTTAATACTGTATGTAATTTTTGCGAGTCACATACAATTAGATTTGTACAAATATGGTTTGTAATACGGATTCCCTAAAATAAAATCCAAGTGGTAGTGATTTATGCAATTCATGACGCCATCAAGCATATTCTACCAAAATACTCGATGTTTTTTTAATGTTATGTATGTTAGTGAAGCAGTAAAAACTTTAAGCATTGAGACAAGCCAAATGTAACTAGGTTATAACTCATTATAATGTTTCGATTTTAAATTACGGTATGCTGTAAAATTTAAATATACAACATGTCAATATATCTATACATGTCGGAACTTTATTTGGTAACATAACTAGAGATGAGTTTCATGCAGCGCATGATTCCTCAATGGTGCGCATTAATGAGCATTCATGCGCTTGTTTCGGAACCATGCGCACGCATTTTATCCCATCTAAATTTTATATAGGAAAATTAAGGGGAAATTGGATCAAGTTTAGTATAAGGGACCCACAAATAAAATTGATTAAAATTGATTATTAATCAATTGAATTTAAAGTAGGGTCCCTTATATTAAACTTGATCCCGGAAATTATAGATAAGGGCACAAAATAAAATAAAGATCCAATATTTGAAATTATTACAAATAAGGACCCAAATCTTACAAAGCCAATCTAAACACTCAGTAATTGCCCTTCGTGATTAAATAGATATTTTAAAAAATAATTTTTATATCAAAACTGGCGTACAAATTTATTATAATGTTTACTATGTGCTTTAAATGTTCTATAAAAGTTAGACATGCTGGATCATGAGGAATCGATTTTATTATATGAATGTAACCATTTTTGCGCTTGTTGCTGAAATAGTAAATGGGCATGGACTATCTTCATTTGTGGGACAAACAGCAAGTAACTAGCTTGGTTTATTAGTTTTAAACTTGTAAGGCGAAGAATATTCGACGGAACAAATGTCCAAGGCCGAACGAACATTTTCCTACTAGTAAAAGTCATGTCGATCTACAATCTTGTACCTGACATTATGTTGGATTTTTAGCTATATTAAGAGATAATATTAAAGTGCAAAGAATAAATGGATTTATGAATCAAATAGATCAAAGGTATGCTTTTTATTGCACATTTGAATTTATGATTTACCAATCAATTGGGGTCTTGCCTTGAAAATGACCTTACGGTACATGATGATGTAAGGTCATTTTTAAGGCAAAGACCTCAATTATTATCTTACGCACTTAACAATTAACAATATTAACTACTGTATTTATATATTCTATATTTACATTTAAAATATTTGCAAGCTCTGCTATTCCTAAGCCACTTTCGATCGAATATATTTTGATTCCTTTAAATGAATACGACAAATATGCCAATAATTTGTTATATTGTTTGATATTGCGTAATGAATAGGAAGTTCATATAATATTGATTTAAATAACGATAAATTCTGTCTCTGAAAGGTATTTACTAATTGGTTTGTCTTTAAATCATAAAGTTCTATGTATTTGATGTCTTCTCTCATAGTATTGACTAAAAAACAATGCTTATTTATGCATAACTGAATAAATATATGAGTATATTATTGTATATTTCATTGTATATTTCTTCCATTGAATAGGACATATCAAAAAAGGACATATTGTTAATAAAGGATTCATATATTCTTGTCAGATATTTTAACTTTTGAATGTTAGAAGTAGATTTATTCTCAATATATACTTATAGATTTCTGAAAGTGTCAAGAGAATAAGAAAGTGATCATCAAGTTTTGACTACTTTTGACTGTTTTCGTATCTTTATCTTTTTTGATCTGCTATAGAATTCTTTTCATAAAGCAATTTGACTATTCCACCATGCTCAATTAGTGATTCCTTATCACCAATATTACTAATTGAATAATCATTATTAATAATGAAAATTAAGGTGAATTCATTATTTTTTATTTTTTGAATTTCCGTAGGATTTAGTTTGCTACGTGTATAATGTTCTTTACAATATTCCATGTCTTTAAGGCTAATACAAGATATGGTTCTACCACATAATCCCGAAAACTATTTTCCCGAAAGAACTTAATACCGACCAAATTGGCCAACATTATAACCAAGGCTGACTAACTTTGTTGGTATTATGTCCCTTCGGGAATCTGTCTTTCGGGATTTTGTGGTAAAACCAAAATAGTCGTATAATGCCGAAATTATTTTTCAAATTTGCCAAAATTATTACCAAAATTTTTTGAACTCTTTTCATCAAAATACATCATAACATAATACCGACAAAGTTAGCCAGCATTGGTTATAATGTTGGCCAATATGGTCGGTATTAAGTTCTTTCGGGAAAATGGTTTCGGGATTATGTGTAGAACGATTCTGGTTCAACTTTCCGAAATCTATTTTTGCAAAATACCATTTCATCGAACCCATTATACTGACAGTCTATTTCACCAAAATGACATTATTCTAACATCTCACTTTTTCGATAAACCATTTAATCGAAAGTCAATTTCCTAATGTTATTTAACCGTTAATCTCTATATCCCGAATCTATTTGCATGATAATCTATTTCACCGAATAGCCATTTTTCCAATTGTATATTTTCTAGACATGCTATTTCTTCAAAGCTACATTACTAAGACCTTTTTTACTGACAGACATTTTACTGAATTTACAGTATTGTAAAAATTGAGAAAATGTCTGTCGGCAAATAGGTTACGGGTTAACTTCTAGAAATCCATTTTTCTGAAATACTATTTCATCAAACCATAATACTGGCGCTTCATTTTGTTAGCAAGGCATAATTTTGATATCTTATTTTCCCGAAGTATGCAACTACTTAATATGCTAAACGATGTGAAGATTTCTTGCTTAATGATATCTTTAAATATTCGATTGATCGTAAAATTTTCAAGACATCTTTTAGAAAGATATCATTTCGGGAAAGTATCCTTTCGGGGAAATATCCTTTCGGGAAAAATCTTTCAGGAAAATATGGTATAAAATATTTCGGTGAAAAGGCTTTCAGAAAAAATTCTTGTCGGGACAATAAGAATTCGCGAAAAGAACTTTGTTGAAGAAAAAGACTGCTAGCAAACTTCTTGCAGGTACTCAGGTTGTCAGTGAAATAGTTTGTCGAAAAAAAAAGTCGGTAAAAGTTTCTGTCAGTGAAATAAACTATTAATAAAACATCCTGTCGATAAAAAGGGATGTCGGAATTATGGGATCGAAACAATAGGTTTTCGGGAAATTGGGTTTCGATAAGTTAAGAAATTACCGTGTAGAACCGACTAATTTCGGCCGTAATTTCTTTTTATTAAAGATGGGAAATTTTTATAGTTTAGGATTAGTTTAGTAGTATAGTTTAGGCCAGTTTGTTGAATTTTGGCAAACAAATAAGTCGTGATGTGTTTATCATGTGATTGTTAATCATTGTTCTTACGAGATTTATAAAATTTTACTAATATTTTTTAGCTACAAATATCATTCATCCTATCCTTTAGAGAAAAAAAGGAAACTAAGAATTAAACACCAAAAAAAGCCAATAAAAGAAGGTTGTTTTTTGATAAGGGTCCGAACAATATAAAAAAAAATTTTTTGATACACGCCCAGAATATGAGTCAGATAAGCATTGAATTTTGCGAATTCGGATGGAAATGTCAGATGGCATTGGGTGAAAAGGATGTATGTAAGGCATTCGAATACTATCAAAAATCTGCTGATATGGGTAGAATATTTAATGTTGATTGTTTTTTGTGATGAAGGAATTGTAGTTGAATTGGATGAACATAAAGCATTTATTTATTATCAAAAATTTGTGGTGATAGGAAGCGCTGATGGAACAAGAGTAGTTGGATATGTTATCAAAATGGAATTAAAATTGAAAAGGATGAAAATAAGACATTCATTTATTATTAAAATGGAATTAGAGTTGAAAAGATGAAAATAAGACATTCATTTATTATCAAAATGGAATTAGAGTTGAAAAGGATGAAAATAAGACATTCATTTATTATCAAAAAATCTGCAGAAATTGGGATGCCGAGGAACAAGAACTGTTGGATATTATTATCAGAATGGAATTGGAGTTGAAAATGATAATATAAGGCATTCATTTATTATCAAAAATCTGCTGATATGGGGGCACGCTAAGGGTATGAATAGGTGTTATAAAAGATGAACATAAGGCGTTCGGATGTTACAAAAAGGCTACCAATATGAATGAACTTAATGGAATAAGTAATGTTAGTCATTGTTACCAAATGGGTTTGGAGTACAAAGAGATATCTAAGGGGCTAATCATCGGTATTGAAAGCAAGAAACCTTAAAACAGATAAAATTTCGAATGAAGAAATTGATGATGATATTAAAAATCTTAATGATGAAAGAAACAAATTATCATGGATTATCATGGATTAATTACAACGAATTCAATATATTGGAGAAATAGGAAAAGGTGGCTTTTCTACAATATATTACGCATATTTGCCTAATAAAATGGTTATATTTATAAGAAAGTTGCACTTAAACACATGCATCAAATCTTTTTTAATGAATTTTTTTTAAATCTTTAAACTAAAATAACTCAACGCAAATCCAGTAAAAAATTTTATTAAATTTGATTAAGTTATTGTTGAGTTATTTTTGTTCAAAGTTTTACAAAAAATTTACTTGGAAAAAATTTGTTTATTCCTACTGCTTCACCTCTATATACGCAATTCGAATAAAATATTGAAAATCTTATTCAGGAACTGAAGTATTGTTGTATTGCGATATATGTTGCGAAAATCCATTATTTTTAGAATGTCATGGAATTTCAAAAGACAATACGACTAAAGATTATAATAATGTTTTAAAATATGCAAGTAAAGGATCATTAAAGGATCATTATGTCAGTATCTCAAAATGTATTCCAATTGGTATGGAAAGATAAATTAAATATTGTATATTACATTTTATCGCTCCTGATCTTGAAGCAATTCATTTTCAAGAATTGATTCTTGAGATTTACATTCTGATAATATTGCAAAGTATTTACACAGCGCTACATTGCTAATTTGGGACTTTCAATATCATCTGATATTAAACGAGAAGGTGAGATCAGTGATGTTATGCCGTATATAGCACGAGAGGTCTTACAGGGAGAACCATTCACTCAAGCAGCGGATGATATCATTATGACGGAGATAGCAACAAGAAAGAGAGCGTTTGATGGAGTGTCTTTCGATATTGAACTTTCGGTGAGAATTTGCTAAGGAGAACGACCTGAATTCAGTGAGGGGACACCAAAATGCTACGTAGAATTGGTCAAAAAATACATGGACCCTGATTCAAATAAACGACCGACGACAACAAATGTTTTTCACAGAGTTGGATAGAGGTCAAGAAGCAATTTTTTGAAGCGGATTATGTCGATCAAGAATTAAAATCACTGATTCATCAAATAATATGCATACCAGTAAATTAATCAACACCAAAAAGATAACAGGAACGATAATATCAAACATTTGAGAAATAAATTTTCAGTATCATCTTTCTAGGATCGTCCGTGAAGAAATTAGTCAGAGGATTCGGCCTGTCGAGATAGTTGATAATAAATAATTCAATTATATATATATATATATTATTTTTATATTTCATTCAACAATTCATGCTCGTTAGCAAAATTATGTGAATTGATAATATCAATTGCTCAGGTTTTTTGGCACTGAAAAGAATCTTGAATCGAGTCATGAACAAATTTTATATGATTCAAGTTTGGAAAAACTTGGATAGACATGAAAGCGAACAAAATATTTATTAATATAGTAGATTTTGGCAAGGTCATAACATCCTTACACGAAATATATCCATATAATGAATGACCCATTCATATTTCGACCAGTAAATAATTCACTATAATTCGTTATATCACACAAAATTTATTTTCAATACATAATTTTGGATAAAATTACAGAATGTATATGAAATTTCATTTTACATAAAAAAATCACCGTATTTTCGCGAAGTAACGCTCATAAGCGTTGTTTAGAATAACGGCCCGAACTAGGCTTAATTTAGGCCAAATTTTGAAATTACACCCCTGCGTGTGGATCTTCTTTAATATAAGTGGCATATAGAATAAGCATAATATATAAAAAAAAAACCACTCAAGTTGGGTTAATTTAAACTCAACACTCACCATAAATCTAACTATTGCAAATTCGCTTACTTTTAATCGAAATAACTAATTTTTATATATGGGATCTTTGCTAGGAAAACACTCTTCGAGATTTTCCAATCAGGCTAATTAATTAATATGTGTTGCTCTAAGTAAAAATACCCACGCGCCAAAACCTTTCCCAAAACCCTTTCCAAACCTTAATTCTAACCTAAATAATAGCCCTGACATGAAAAATTTGTCTAAAACTTTTATAAAAGTGATCTATTTTTTTTTAATGTAACTTCAATTTATTATCTTTTTCTGAATATGTTCTTTATAGAATAGCCATTTTTATAAATGTATATTATTCTGGATTTATGTATCTTGCAGGAGCCAGAGGTTAGCTTTAAAAAATGATCAATTGTAAATCTATTATTTCGAGTTATTGTAATTTTTTTTAATAAGTTTATTGCGATTGCAATTACAATATATTGAAGTATAATGATAATTATTATTTATAAGTACATAATATATATATATATATAACTAGGTTTTTTCAATAATAACTTTAATAATTAATTGGCTTGTATATTTTATAAAGCGTCAATAGACTTACAACTTCGTAATGTGTATGTATGAATAAAAAAAAAGAATTGACTTGATATGAAAACATGAGATGAGTAGAGAATTGATGCAACACGTGACATGAACAACTTATCAGTTTATGTGATTATCATCAATTTACTTTCATGTCACCTATTGCATTCTTGCGGTTATGTAATAGGTTAATTATTTAAAAGCTACCAAATATTTACATTATTATTATTAGAGATCTTTTTTTGGCTAATACTGTTTAATTTTCAGATTGTTGCTGCATACTAAGTACACCTCATCGTGACAACGGAAAGTTCAACTATTTATTATATGATAGTGTCAAATTAGTATTAATACTATATAATTAGCTATACAATTAGTATTTCACTTATATAATTTTGAGAGAAATACCTATTTAAGTTTACATTCTTGTTGGTCGAGCTTACTTATTTTCAGTTGCCCCTTTTTTTTTTTACAATCATGAATCATTACAGGACAAGTTGTATTAATTTTTCTTGTATTTTGTCGGATGTATGTTCTTTAAGATAAAATTACATAATTATAATAATAAATATTATCTTGAACAAAAGTATATATCTGTAAATATTTTATAAACTTGTCAGTTTTAACCATTTTAGACTGATCAATATTCAACCCAATTTCTAAAGATTCACATGCCTTCATTATATTAATATCCATCTCTTTTGAAATTGAAGTAAACCATTTATTACTGTATACGTGGGTGGGATGATAAGTTTTGTCAGTAAATCAATATCTTGATTATTTTTAAAGATACTGTTTTAAATTATATATATAAATATAGTGTTATAATGAATTTGTAAAAAGGAATTTAGTTGGTTTTAATTAGATAGTTGTTAAAAAAATTAGTTTTTAAATTTATTAATTTAACTAATTGAAATTTATTAATATAAAAATTTAAATTAAATAATTTATATTGAAATTTTTATAAAATAAAAAAATTATACAATTAATATAATAATCTATATTTATATAATTACAATTTATATAAATAAATTTTATTTATAATTATCTAAAGTAATTTTATTATAGATTAAATATTTTACTCTATATAGTAATTTATTTACTAAATTTAGTAATAAAATTTACAAATATAATAATTTTAATTTTGTTGTTTTAAATAAATTTAATAATTTTATTTGAAAATAGAATAGTTATAGAAATAAATATTGTAAAATTATTGTTATTGTTTGTAAAATTTATAAAAATATTAAAAACTAAAAAAAAATATAGCTTTATAAAATATATTTAACCAAAGAAACTTTAAATTATAAATTTTTTTAAATTTTAATACTCTAATTTATAAATAAATTATATATTAAAAACTATATAATCAATTTTAATATTATTTAAATTTTTAGAAAAATTAATTAAATTTTAATTTTTTTTATATATACTAAATATAAAGTTTAATTAATTTTTATATAAAAAATTGTAATAGTTTTTATATATGAAATTAAAAATTCAATATTTCAAAAGCTATCTAATAAAAATGGCTAAAAGTTTTTTTACAAATTTATCATAACCACTATATTTATATATTTAAAATTTAAAACTGTATCTTTAAAAATTATCAAGATATTGATCCATTGACAAAACTTAACATCCTACTCACAAAGTACAAATTTGTAGAATTATAATTATTATATAATTTTTTGTAAAATTATAAAAATGATATTAGAAATTTGTTAATTTTTTACTTAATATATATAATATATATTTGAAAAATATCTGGTGAATTAACAATATAATGTTGCCAAATATTATATTCTATATAATAAAACTATTCAAATTATAAAATAATAAATTAGAATAATAAATTAAACTAATCACATACCTTCATGTTTCTCAGGTTACTGATTTTAACAGGATTAATTTTGGGAGGTTTACCAATAAATAATAGTTTCATGATACAAAATCTTCCACCTTGTATATCAGTTTTGGAAGTTCAACAATATTTTTATATCAGATAATGATGCAATATCTGTTCATTCATTTAGGTAGCAATATTCATTCTATTTATTCTGTTAACATTTCTGATACTTAACAGGTATTATTCCTTCTGAGTTTTAATAATGAATGAATGCTATAAATCAATTTCATATATATAATTATTGAGAAGTGAATTTTTATTCAATTGACCACTTTAAAAATAATCAGCTGATACAAATATATTTATTAAGCTTACTGCCAGTTCTAATTAGATAAAATAACAACTATAAATTCTTTAGTATTTTCAAATTTATAATATTTTTTATAGTGAACTAAGCACCTTATATATTTGATATTTAGAGGTTTTATAAGTATCTACATAGTTCCTTGAATATCACCTTGCTTAGCCTTTCTAATGAAGAATAATATATAATAAAAATTTACACTATAGCAAAAAATGTAACCTAAAAAATAATAACCCAAAACCATATGACTTGGAATCTTAAATGCATATTAAATAATAAAAGCAAAGGTATTTAATAATGCTAATTCAGGTATCGACTTCATGTATTTAAGATTGAAGAGATAGGAGAAATCATAAGAATCATAATTAATAAAGAACATCTACTCAAGATCCTAGTAGTTAGATTTTTTACATCGTTGTGACCTAAATCTGCCTTTCTACAATATATAGTATAAAAGTTATATCAAATTAAAATAATCAAATATGATAGGATAATATGATAATTACTTTATTAATGCAAGAAATATTTAATAAACATAATTGAAAATAAAATATAGCTTCATTACATATTAAAAATGAAATCAAAAACTATATAATGTTGAACCTATCCTGTTAAACCGATAACTTGTTAAATCTGATAAATAATTAATTAGCCCATTGCTGATATAAATCTAACAGTTTACAATATTTCATGTTTACAATATGGTATCAGTTTTGGGAAGTTCAACAATAGTTTAGAATTACTTCATGAGCTTTTAATATTGAATGGCTAAAATTTGTTTTTAGTTACTTTATTTTATGCAAAGACAAAAGATTACTTTTCAAATTTCAAGATGCAATTCCTTCAAATAATATAATATATTAAATTTATTTTATTTAAAGATAATAAACTTTGGTATTAAATAATACTTACCTCAATTGACCCTATATTTTTATATATTATACCAAATAACTATTTGAATTATTAATTGTAAAGTGCAAAAAAAAACTGTATGAATAATAATAATAATAATATACTAATAATAATTATAATTATAATAATAATAATAATAATTGCTATTGGTAAATATCTGACCTAGTAACATTCAATAATAAAAGCCAAAAATTGTTAAAATAAGTAAGACCAGAAAAAACTTACCAGGTATAATAAAATTTTAACACTTTTTATATTTGAAATTCTTCAAGTTTGATAATAGAAGAACATTTTTTATTCAAAAAAAATCACCTCAAAAAATAGATAAACAACCCTTACTTTTAGGCTGAGGTTCACATGTCTAATTAAGCATTTATTAATTGTTTTTATTTTGTGACCACAAATTTGAGTTGCTTAACAATAAATTAATGAAATATAGCTATTACAAGATTAAAGATTAGTGTCACAAAAGAATATAAATATGTGAAATTAAGATAGTGCACAAGATTTGTAAGGTGGCTGTCTATTAAATAATTATAATTGATAATTAATATTAAAAAATATTTAATTTATTAAAAGAATAATATAGTTACCTGAATAAAATAATGTAGTAGTAAATTCAATAAATTGCTTTTATAAATATTAAATTATAATATGTTTGTAGATATGTATTTTTAATATTTCTTCTAATTTAAATTTGACAAAATATTTTCATTATTCTATCATTTTGTAAGAGTTTCACAGAGTTTATTGCTAATAGATGGTTTACTAGTGTTTTTTATATTAAATTTCATCAAGCAAATTGTATAGTATCTTGAAGCATAAATCTTTCCAATTCTTGATTTTAAGTTATAAATTTTCTATGTAAAATTTCTATGCTGAATGAGTAGCTATATATAGTAAATTCTATAAATTCTACAACATTTTGTCTTTGATACTATACAAAAGCTCTATTAAAATGATCTATACAGAAATGTGGAATATAATTTATAGATCTAATTAAAAACTTAAGCTAAATTCATTGAGAATTCTAATTTTTTAAGAAGATTTGATAACAGTTGGCTAAAATTATAGGATAGACCCACTTAGTAACAACATGATCAAAACTGCTAAGCAGAAAAATTGAGACACACCTAACTCATAATCAAAAATAAAATTAATAAAAAAAAAAACAAAAAATAGCTTATTAATAAGCACTAAAACAGCTGAAAATATTTTGATTATACTATGTCTAGAATATTATAGCTTTTCTATAACTGAATATTTATGCTTATACAATCAGTTGCTATTTTGTACAATAATCTACTTGTAGAAAAAAGTTAAAAGTGTCCTAACAGATAAAGTTTTGACTATTCTAAGTTTAGTTGGAATTTTTAAATCTAAAGTGATTTCGTCACATTTTCTAATCACAATTCTAGTATCTTGTTGTTTATTCTGTACAATAAGAACATCTCTAATAGCTTGGCATATAAAAGTACTAAGCTTTGTAATTATTTCTAAATTATTATTTAATACTGACAAATCAGTAGCTTGCAAATGCGCTCTGGGTACTTTTTTCCAGGTTACTTTGCTTATAAATTTAGATAAATGACTAATTGACAATTCTTCTCTAAAAATTAATCAATACAATATTTACCCAAAATAATTCTCCAGAGCATTATTTAGAGATATGCAATTTGAAAAGTAATTTAATTATTAGCTCTCTTCAATTTGCATATTTCTAGATAATATAGCAAGTATTTATTTTTGGGCAATATAGTAATTTTTTTTAAATTTTCTGTTTAATTTTAGATAATACTTGTAACTACTTAATACTTACTGTTAATGTGTTGCAACAAAATCACCTGCAAGAGTTGTAATAGCAATATAAAGATTGTGATAGTAAACATTGAACCAACCACTCATGCCTTTGACTAATATTGCTATATGATAATCACTTTTCTGAATTTTGCATACTTTTACAGCTAGCTCTTCATATAGATCTTTGGTATTGTTTCTTGTACAAAGAAAAAAGCCTTGTATTCATTTTGCAATTGCTATTTCATATGCTAATATAAAATATACTATAAGTTTACAAAAAAAATTGATGTAATGTATTATTGAAATATGTAAAGATTACCTTAGTAATTTCTACAACATTTATAAAATTGCATGAATTAGTAGATATTTCAGATATATTATCACTGTCTTGTATTTTATTTTCCTCCTGTTATGTTTAATGTTGGCTAAAAAACACTTGGATATTAAACTATCTACATAGCAGCTTTGAGTTCATTAGATGAATTATAAAGCTTTGTTAAATCTTCTTGAGGTTCTTCAAAATCATTTTCATTATCTATCAAAATATTAAAGTAATAAATAAGTAGTTTAGATTGTGTTATTTTTAAAATAATTCTTACTTTTATATGATTTTGCTGCTGAATTTACTATTTTTGAATTTGAATTTGATGCAAAATTCTCATCTATATATGAAGGTGCTGTCATATTACCCTTGCCTTTAGATTTTGTTACAGAAGTGAAGTCTCTATATGTGCTAACTCATTAATATTATCAAAATTACAAGTTAAACAATAAATAAGATTTTATTAGTTTATCCAATATTTTTAAAATTTACTCATATATGATCAATCTTTTTAATATAAAAAAAAAACAATACTATTGACAAAATAATTATTAATCATATACCCAAGTATATTTTCTACATGCCTGTACAAATGCATGCAGTAAAGTAAACTGTCACTATGTTTTAAACATGTTTTATTATAATATAATATAATAAATTCAATGTAATTATGGCAAATCTTAAAACCAAGACTTATAGATTTTTAAATTTGAATTTTATCAAATCCTTTAATGCCAGAACCTCATTTACAGCACTAGTAAAATTTTAAAAAATTACCATATTGAATGCCATGATTCATTCGAATCATGCCATTCAATATAGTAATTTTTTTTAAATTTTACTAGTGCAATAATTAATAACACAACAGTTAAGTATGAAATAGAATTAAATAACTGTTGATAAAAGTAGAATTGGATAAATTTTTCATTTTTTACTAATACTACACATGACACCAAATCATGATTCTAATTGTTCAATACTAACAGGATTTATTAATATCAAATTTTGAGTTTGATTAGCTGATTTTAAGTTTGATCAGTTGGTCTTGAGTTTGATTATGAAGTTTAATAGTAATGAGGTTATAAAGTTTATCAGTAAGGTTTAAAATAAAAAGACTTTTAAGTTTTTTTGTTAGCAATTTTTTTAGTTCTTTAATAGCACTTTTTCTTTAAGCAGGAGGTTTATTAAAGTATTAAAATTTTTATTTTCTTTTTTTACAAACTAGTTATAGTAGTATACATCATATTGATAGATTATCTATATAAGTATTAGTTCTATTTTTTGTTCATATTATTTTCATTCCTTTTGCTAGCTAGTCTTTTTTTTAGAGTTATTTTTCACAACCTTGAGTTGTCATATAGTGGTTTGCTAGTGTGGTACCCTGGTGGTAATTATATTATATTCTGGTGTTGCTATTTAAAAGTTTGGTTTTTTTTTTGTTCATCAGATATGAGTATTGGGTTTTTTTGTTTGTTTGTTACTTATTGCTTGTTACTTTTTCTTTCTTTTATTAACAGGTCTGTTTTTTTTTAAGCGTTATATTTGTATTATTAGATTGTCATTGTTTTGATAGTGTAGTTATTTGGTGTTGATACCATTGTATATTGGTGTCATAACTAGTTGATATATTCTTACTGTTGTATAGGTTTTATGGTTCTGATAATGTTATTTTCATTAGTGATATATTATTTGTTAGTAGTGTTCATTTACTAATGCTATTATCATGCTGCATTTTTTGTTAGTTTTTTGTATTTTGTTAGTTTTAGGATTAGAGAGAGAACTATTAAGCTAGGCATTTAGTAAGGAGGCAAAGCAGAAATGACAGTCAAAGCAAGCAACTACTGGGTGAACCAATAATTATTAATCAATTGATTTAAAGTTTATGTCTCTTATACTAAATTTGATCCAAAGTTGGTATTTAGTACCATATATTGCCAAAAATAAGCCACCTCCGAAAATAAGCTACCCCCTTTTTTCTTGGAGAAGAAACATAAGAAAATTTGTTATTCTGAAAATAAGCTACCCCGATAATTTCTTAAAATCTGGAAGTAGTTTCTATATATAAAAGTCAAAATTCTATTAAGTAAACGATAAAAGTCACTTAATAGGGTTTGTTCAGGACATAAAGATACACATATTCTGAAAGTCTGAAGCAAATCGGAGAACTTTTTACTAAGATGTTTTTGCATTTTACGTTTGAACGTAAAATGCAAAAACATCTTAGT